CTACTGAGAACTCCTTGCTGAGGGAAAGCCAGGTCGTCTGACTCAGGCACTTTATATCAGGATTCGAAGCTCCAGGGAATCATGTGACTCATTTCTAAGGTTTAGAGAAACCACTTTCCACCAGATCCAGAGGGCACCCTGGAATCACCTTCCCTGCATTTCTCTAACACAACCTAATTGAGAGCTTTCCCTCTATCAGTTGAGATAAGCATGTTTTTATTCAGCCAATGTTGAGCTTTTCATTTTTAATAAACGCCCTGTTGGGATTCCGAGAATGTGTATGACGGTTCTCGTGTGCGTGCCTTACCCCACCTTGCTACTCACGTTTAAAAAAAACTAAAAAACTAAAAACCTTGTCACCTAAAAAACTAAAAACCACCTGTCACGATGTGTGACTATTATTTTTTATTTGCCCAGTTTTTACCCTTGTTCTTGTATGGTTTTTCTTCCGCATTGTTCATGTGATCAGCGCCCTGTCACATGATTCTTCACTTTCTCTGTGTCTACAATGTTTTGTCTTCCTGTCTGGTGGATCATTTACTAATTATTATTCCCCGGTGTTTTGTGTTCATTCGTATAAATTCACTTGCTAGCTATCGGCCAGTACGGGAACATTGCCGATCTATATGATCGCTGCCGCGCACTACAGAACAGCACTTTCCACGTTAATAAACGTTACTTTTTTTAGAACACCTTGACTCTAACGCCTGACATCACCTGAGTGTGATTGTATCTTGACAATGACATTAAACCTAACTTTTATTGAAATTCAGGGCTCCTGTCTTTTAGTGTAGGTCCACAAGGACACACTGACCTGATGGATCTCGCCTCTCAGTTGATCGGCCTCTGCGTTCTGTTCATTCACATAGTTGAAAAGAGCAAAGTTCCGGTCCTCAACTGTTAAAAACAAAATCATCTCAGACACAGTAACCTGCAATCATTTATGTTAATAAAATAAAGATTAATCTCACCTCGGATAAATTTAGTAACGAGCATCTCCAAGTTATCTTCTCCAGCCACTCTCTGAATTTGCTGGAAGACTTCCTCTAGAGTTTCATATGTCTTTTCTCCAGCCTCTACCTTTTTCTGCTCCTTCATCTCTGCCAACACATTAATCATTAATTTTCTTTATGCCATGGTCTGTCTGAGTACTCGATTCTGATTGGCTGGCAGGTGTTGATTAATTTCGAATGCACACATAATTTCGGCTGTTTCACAATCAATGGTTGAACTTGATATTGAGCTCCAACACTCTGCTGTGTAATGGTGATGTTTGCTCCATTTTCGAGATATGCTACAGATCATGTAAAGGGGTGGTTTGGAATGAAACAAACAAATCATTTGAGAGACGAAAGAATCATCAACCTGTTGCTGGAGCTTCTCAAAACCAAAGTAGGATCCTGTCAAATCCACAATATTTTAATATTTTTAAAACTGGTATGGACTTTAAACTGCAACAAACAAGCCACATAAACCTTGATTGCACCCTGACCTTGTCTGCGACTGATTTCCTGTCCTTCGTCTAATGCGGTTCTCTCACTGCTCTTGGTGGTCATGAACTCTTTGAGTCTGTGCTCATGAGCAATGACTCTCTCCAGCTCCTTTATATTAGCTGAATGCTGTGAAAAATCCTTCATCTCCTTGTCTTTCATCATGGTTATTTTGGTCTGAGCCTCCACCCTGACAAAATCAAAACCCAGATGATCAGAATATTTACTGTCTCTGGCTCCTTCTTTTTTGACGTGTGAATAAAAACTGGTCTGAAATTTGCAAAATAAGACTTGACATGTGATCCAAAAAAACCTTTAAATATGACAATTTGTCATTGCAAGAGCTGTTTATATTAAAAAAGCAACATCTCACCTTGCTTCATATGCTGTAGTTGACATGTCGATAACTTCACCGATGTCCTTACGAACATCTTGAAGAACCTGAAATCAAATATTTTTAACCTTATCTGATCTCTGTATCCATCAAGCTCATGATAGACAACACCGGATTCCACAAGTTTACCTTCTCAAGCTTGGAACGAAGCTGCTGGAACCGGACGCGCTGCATGCGGAGAATCTCTAGCTCTTCTCGGAGCTGGCTGTTCTTCGTCAGCTGCTCATTGAAGCGAATCAGAGCCTTAGAGGACCATTAGCAAAAAGATCAGCAGAGAAATTCAGGCAACCTTCACAGACTTAATTTCAATAATTTTAATATCAAACCCAACAAGTTTGTTCCCAAGTAATTTAAGTGAATTTTCACAAACATTTATGACTATAGTGATAGTAGATTTTACTTTCCAGAGAATATATTATATTAGCATGGCTGTTTCCCCCATTGAGAAATGTTTAAATGGGCCACATTATGCAAAATCAACTTTTCTGACGTTCCTTGCATATGTTAGTGTTGCTCCCTCATCATAAACATGCTTCAAGTTTTATTCAGAATCTTTTTTGCAAGTTTTATTCAGAATCTTTTTTGCATCTTTTTTTAAATCTTTTTTGCATGTTTGTCAAAGCCCAAGCCCTGGGTTTGGGCTTTGATCTCCAACTTTGATCTGTTAACAAACCCAGCTATATAGAGAGCGCTGCTGCCTAATAAATGGCGATGCGTTAATATTAGCGGTTATACTAACCAAACCCAGAATTACACAAAAGACCTGAATTTGGTAAATAATGTCAACGAAACACCATTAGAAAGATTTGAAACACATTCCCGATTTCTAATTCAGACAATATTTGCATGAAATAGATCCAAACTTCATTCATTAACGTTATCTCACACAAACAGGAGAGCTCGTTAGCATACGCAGGCACTGAACTGCGTGTAGTGTGTTGTTATATTCACATGTTTATTGTGGATTCATAAGTTTGCAATGTGATGAAACTTACACAGAACTCTCCGATGCACTTTAGACCTTATTTACGTCTCTTTCTAGCCTGGGTGACACACATAAATTCTTAATTCTCGGTTAATATTGCATTTAGAAAGTTACTAACGATGCAGTACTAGTACAGAGGGCTCAAATATATTTATGTTAAGAAATGCATGTCCATAAAAAACACACCCATCATGATGTGTGCAAAGTGGAACCCTATGGAGGTTCCAAAAAGTGTGGTTAAACTTTTCCTTATGAAATGCATTTGGGTTTTTTCATTTTAGACTTTTTAAGACCCTGTTGAAAGCCTGAAATTGTTACTCTACCAGCCACTATAGTTCCCCTAAAGAAACATGGTTGGAGGAAAAATGCAAAAAACATTTCTGGCTCATGTTTACACTGAGCTGAGGTGGCCCAGCCCACAAACCGCTTAACTTCATAATACCTTTAAACATTTACTATATAAAGATATGAGGTCAGTGCTTATTTAAGGCACACGTTTCACACAATGGCATATTATTTGCAGACAAAATGTATTTATTTTTTTATGTGAGGTGAAACTGAATACAATTCTATCAACTTCCGATATTCACTGTCCCTAATTCAGTTCATAATCTGACCTCCATGTTCCTATCTGTCATCTATAAAAACACATTTATATTTTTCTCTGATAATCCTATGAACTTTTTACATTTGTAAAGTTAACAAAGTCGACATTAACCTAAACATGTTTCATTGCTGATGATGGAGCAATGCTTCCTTGTATAACAGGAACTGGTGTTAATATTTACCCGGTCCAGTTTGTTCTCCAGGGTACGTATGGCTTTCTGTGTGTGTCGGGCCTGAGTCACGTGACTGTGTGAAGTTGAGATCTCTTCTTTTCGTGCTTCCAGAAGCCTTTTCTCTAAATTTGTAATCTGAAAACAAAACATGTTCAAATAGGTCTGGAGAAGGATGTGCAATATTGTTTTAAACTAGCATCCACTGATATAAAAGTAAAAAGCAATGTTTAAAATAGCATAAAATTAGCTGAATAGCACTCCATTGTAAACCGTTTAAAATCCTACAACATTTACATTATAAAAGTGGCCTTAAACTCTTTTGAACTGAATATAAATGTGTTTTGTAGGTTTTAAAGTTGAGGTATAGGTTTATAGTAATTTATCTCCACATAATAATGTTATAAAGCAACACTCAGAGCCTAAAAGCGATGCTTAACAGTGGGCATCCCCATGGACAGATATCGATCACAACTTTTTGTGCTGAACATAAGAATTAAATCAATTAAATTAAAGCTGTATTGGAACAAGTGTAGGGTAAGGGAGTGAAATATCAATATAAATTGATGTGTTTTCATTTAAAACAAGCCGTAGTTGCTCTTTTTGGCTAGTTTTTACCTCCAGTTCCAGTTGAGCTTGTATCTGTCGTTCTCTCTCCAGCTGATCGTGCTGAATGTTTCCTTGCTCCAGAAGAAACTGGACGCTTTCTGTTTCCTGACTCTCACTCTGTCTGCGTGACTGGGACTCAAGTACATGCAAAGTCCGCAGCAGCTCTTCCTGCTCCTCGTGCAGCTTTGAGATCTCATGACTGCACACAGATGCAAATAATGTTTAGGTTGAGGGTAATTTGAACTTATCTTTAACCTTACTCACAAATAGATTTTATTGACAAATGTGGCAATTCTGGAAAAACTCACCGTTGCTTGCGTATAATCTCTTGTGACTGGATACTGTAGGCCTGTCGGTCTCCTTCTGTGATACGAAACTGTCTCTGGAGTTTTTCTAGTTCCGTCTCAGCTGAATACAAACAAAAATGCCTAAAATATAAATGAAATGAATAATTCCTTTTTATAAATTAAATTTAATTATTTTCATACCAGCTCCATCATAGTCCAAGTCGCTGCTGTCAGAAAGGGCACTGTTGGCTGGTCTTCCACGCGGCATGATGACGAATGTTAGCTAAAAATGCTTAAAAATACAGGAAAACACAAAATAAATATACTATATTTGATTTAGTATAATTGATCTAGCACAAAAAGAAACTAATTCTAAAAGGTGTTATTTTAATTATGAAATTAAATTAATCTAACACGACTTACATTTAAATTTACGAATACATTTTTTTTGTCAGTTCTTGTTTTCCCTTGGATTTGAACCCACAACCTTTGTGTAGTGCTCAATGCTCTAGCGACTGAGCCACAGGAAAGCTTGATGTTTCTATATGTTTACAAATGCATGTAAGGTATGTTTAATGTTTAAAAATGTTATGAATACAATGAAAAGCATTAAACGCTAATCATCTTTTTAAATTTGATTTTTTTTTTTATATTCAAAAATCTAATTTTAAATAAGTGATCTTCTTTGCATGTTCTCCACTTCGGTTCCCTTTCAAGATTAATAACACGAGTCAGGTTAATTTAATAATCTAAATTGTGTGTGAATGGCAGATAGACAACAGTATACCCCTAAAAGGAACAATTGGGTAAAGAAGAGGAATGATTGAATTCATAAAGTATACAAAAGAGAGAACAGAAGGAATTGTAAATTGTAAGATATACAACTGAAGGCAGACGGATAAGCCCCGTGTGAAATTGCACATTATTTTTCTATTTTCCCAAGGGATGTTTATCAGAGCAAGAGTATGTTTTTTTTTTACATTATTTTCCACACAAAATTGGTTTGTAGTTGCTTAAAAAAGTACTAAAATATGTCTATTGAAATGCATAATGTTAAGAAATTATTTCTTTGATTGGCTATAAAAAAACACTGTTAATGATTTGCTAGTTTAACCTAATTTGCATTATTAAGATAAGTTAAATTTCAGAGTTAGTATATTGCAATAAAACTAGTAGAATAACAGGCACAGAAAAAAAGGATTGATCAGGATACACGTGTTTATCAAATCAGTTCTAAGTGTCAAGAACTGTAGTGAGAAACATTATCAAAAAGATTTTTAAGAGACCAAAACATTGGAGAACAATACAGTCAGAGGCATGAAGTGAGAGATGTGAAAAACATTGGAAAGAAAACTAGGGGCTGGGCGATAAATCGATTACATAGATAGAACTCAAAATAATAGTTTACAGGGTTTTTTTTAATTGAAAATCAGCAAAGTTAGTGAACTGAGTGCAGTTCACTGGCCTACACACATCCTAGATTCTGTTCTAAATCCATGGGGCACACTATAGTTGGAAGCAAAAACCAACAAGTCTGGAGGAGTGAGGAGAGATCTGCTCAGGAAGAATAGGAATGCCTTCCGCTTCCTGTTTGCAAATATACAAATGGTTGTTACCATAGAAAGAAATTCAATTTCTTTTTTGGCCTCACTTTTAACAATTTGTAGGTATAAAACTTGGCTGGTAGAATGATTAAACTACGTAAGTTACACACATGAATACAAATTATCTGCCCTCATTTTTGAAGCCAGAAAACATATTTTCTAAGCAGATTATAAAAGATCCTATATACATTTGACAAAAACATTTAAACAGACTAAAACATATGGTATTTTCTGGCTTTGAAATTCAGAAAGCACAAGATACCTCAATAGCTTTATTAAATCTTACCAAGTATTTTTTGAAAGGATAACAGATTTGAACGATTTCACAGGAACTGTAAATAATTTTGTGTGCGTTATACCGATTTTTTCCCCAGCACAATTCTGGACAATCTTTATCCAGGAAGTTACGTTAATAACATTAGGAAAAGAAACACACAGACTTTTAAAAGCTAAGAAAAAGAGAAAAGTTCGAAATCATAACTGTGTTGAAATTAACGTTAGTTCGACGTTCAGGTTAAGGAGAAAAAAACGTTAGCAGTTCACGTTAATACTCGTTAATAACAGTCATATTGCAAAACCCCCTAGCGTACCTACAAACAATTTTTTCACCTAATTATAACGACCGAAAGAAAATTTTCGGTATTAGGTTAACTGTTTATTTATTTAAAGTCAATAAAGTGGATTATAAGATTAATATATGGCCAAAATTGTAGCGGCATTTTTCAGCGAAACACTTCTGAGTCACATAAAGAATTCTCTTACCTTTTATGTTTAAATCTTCAGGTGTTTTTTTATTGTCACGTCTTTCTTGTATCAACCAGATAAGGTTGTTAGCAACAATCTCCAAGGAAGAGACTGGAAATGGCCTACAGATGGCGCTGCTGCTCACACTCATCAAACCAGCGCATGAAGAATGACTTCCGGTTCCGTTAAAGTTTCACGTAAAAGTAAACAATAATCTTTACATGCGAATAATAATAAGTCGAATAATTAAAACCACAAATAATTCTGGTATACTTTTATTAAATAGAAAGTTTTTTAAGGAAATAAATTATTCTTAATGCACTAAATTGAGAGACATTGTTGAGTAAATTTTCATTTTAAACGTTCACCTTAACCTAAAATGTATTTTAGCCTTCCAACTGCATATAAAAATCTATACATTAATATATTGTACAAATAGTAACTAAATTAAATTTTCATAGCCTTTATCTCCACAAATTTGAACTATGTTACTGTCTCCGAATAGAAAATGTGTTCGGAGGGAAAGACTGATTAAAGTCTGATTTTTCTGGCTAACCAGTCAGAATAACAATGCAACAATAACTAAAAACAACAAAACATAGTTTTCCTAGCTTTCTTCAGTAGTTGTTGGTGGAGCTCCCTCTAAAAAGGCACGAAAATGATCTTCTATATTGAGTTCAGGGTTTTTTACCAACAGATGGCATTTAGGAAAAAAATAAGCTGCAACCAACCCCACATTACTAATTAATGTAACTACAACTTGAGCAACAGACTTATCTTTATCATTCAGACTTGTGTAAATGGGGATGAACAGCACCCACACTACACAGTAACACAAGGTGGAGGTGGTGATATCTCTTGGCAAGTTGTACTGTCCATGTGGCTTTAGTGCCATGAAAGTCGACATGAATGATATCAGAGCCAGAATCACATTGAAACCAATCATCAAGCCAAAATTTAACATGGGCTCCACTGGGCAGCAAAGAAATCTTTTCACATAATTCACATTCAAACTGGCAACATAGTTGGTCAGGGAAGGACCTTCATGGGTGTACCAGCCACACAGTCCTGCTTGAAGTCCACAACATCCCAAAATCACAAAGCAGCTACCTCGTCCACGTAGGTTTTCCAGGTGCTTACGAGACTTTTCAGGGAACTCTGTGACACACACAACCTAAGAGGAAAAATACAAAAATTCTATTTAATTTTATTTAATTACAACTCAAAAATTGATTTTGTTTTAATACATTTGTTTGGAAAATTATGCAGGACTTCCGTTCAATGAAGTAAAGCTATTGTTTATTATTGTCAGGAACAAATAATGCATTGAATAATTATAATCATATACATTTTGATGTTTAGACGTCAGGCTTTTGATAGTATAAAAGACACTTATTATAGCAATTCAACCTTTTAAAAAAGGCAATGACAATTAATTTGTTGAATTTATATTTTTAAATCACCTGAAGGGCGAGGATCAGAATGGCTGAGAGCGCCATGCTGGGGAAAATAGCATTAAGTGGCTGCTGCATGCGACACACAATGTCCCCTGGCTGACCCAGGAACAGCAGCAGACTCACACATTCTGCTGCAAGACTTGACAAGGTAAGGGCACACAGTGGTCCACCTGCCGTTTTCACCAGTGGAGTTTCTCTGTGCTTGAGAAATAGGCCTGCCACGCATAGATAGCAAACTAGCACCAGGCCTCCTGCAAATATTAGACTTAGTGACTCAAAGTTAGTCCAGTACAGGTAAGTATAGATGGGATGGATGCAGCGTGTGCTTCGTGAAGATGACCACTGGCCAATAGGGCATTGCTTACACTGGATGTCATCTAATAAAAAAGATAGATCACAGACAGTAAATGATAACATAAGCTCAATCATACATATGTTCTGAACTGTTTCACATGGGATTCAACCTTAGAATTTAGCATTCACATTTATCAATGAATCTTTGCGATGTAAAATAGGCTTATAAGGTGTTGCGCCAATGTGTTAAATTAAAGTATAAAAACATGTTCTGTTTTCAGGAATACAGATTGTGTTTCCTCAACCTGTGTTTATCGTTACCTCCTTCCATGCTTTTCTTGATTTTTTCTTGAGCTGCTTTGCCTAGTCTTGAATTCATAAATCAGTAATGAAGGGTAGGAAACTGTCTGTCCACTGCTCTTTTCATAACGGTTCCAAGGGTTTAGACACTGCCCGTTATAAAGCAACCTTTTTAAAGTGAACAAGTCTTGTACATTATTATTCTTTCTTATATCTGGCTAGGATCACAGGGATCTCCAGCACAAACAGGGTCTGTTTAAGGGAGAATTAATAGTCTTCAATTTACCTCACACTGTGTTTGGGTGCACCCACACAAAAATCCACACAAACATAAGGATAACATGCAAATTAATTAATGACCTTGAACCTGAGAAAAACAGACAAGGCTACCCTGAAGAATTGAAGGTGTGCCTTGAGATGAAGGTCACGTTTTGTAGGTGAAGTTCACTTTTTTTCAGAGTGCGAAATACAGGGGAGCTAGTCTCCCCTATATAATTGTAAATTATAATGTGTAAAAACACGAACAAAGTAATGTGTAAATCATCCATTACTGTCAATGTTAACCTAATTCATGTGAATAATACATGCTGTTACACTACATGAGCATCAATGTGCGGAGGCACTGTGGTGCAAATTGCATTTATGACTGTTCACTTATTCGTAGAATTAGAAAAGCCAGTTGGTTTGCTCCATGGGTGGTGGAGTAAAACCAAACTGCGGCGATTGTTCCCATGGTGCTGGTTGCAGAATGATTTCCGGCCAATGCAATTCTACGTGAAAGCGGAACTTTCAGAAATGACATTATTTACACAAACGGTTTAATGGTTTTCGAAAGTTATCTTTGCAGTAAACAAAGTTAATTTTTTTATTCAAAGTTCAAAGTGCACCCGTCAATGGGAGCCTCCTATCTAACTCGAAAAAAACCTCATAATAGCCTAGTGGCAGAAGGCGGTGTCACATTTTTTTACAGTCTACTCACAAATTTAGACAAAAAAATAAACAGTTAGCATCGCACGGCAACTACTAACCATGGAAAAACCAACACAAGGCAATTTATCTAATTTTTGTCTTAAAAGCCAAATCAAGACCAAGTTACCTGCTGGAAGCCCTGGTAGCAGTGCCTTGTCTCCACA